AAAAAAAAGAATAAAAATACAAAAAATATGAAACAAATATACAAAAATATGTATTCAATTCAAATCTGGCCACCATCAGCTGCAAAGCGGTTGCCTTGCACAGCAGCACACCACACCCAGCGCTGCTGCCACGCTCTGAAAGCTCTGCGGAAGTCCTCTTCTCCCAGTGAATCCAGTACTATCAGTGACGCATGCTGGAGCTCTTCCACCGTGTCAAAAAAATGTCCCCTCAACTTGGCGTTGATTTTGGGGAAGAGGAAGAAGTCGCAGGGGGCCAAATCTGGTGAGTGCTGTGGGTGAAGAATGAGATTTGTGTCGGTGTAGCAGAAATAATGGCACTCTTTCAGTGCGTCGTGGGCGGGTGTGTCGTCGTGATGGAGCAGCCAGTCGCCTTTCTGCCACAGTTCAGGTCGTTTGGCCTCGATGTTCTTCCTGAGACGCGTCATAACGCTGAGGTAGAACGGAGCATCAACCGCCTGACCGTCGGGAACAACTTCCCGATGCACCACCCCGTGAATGTCAAAGAAGACGATGAGCTTGACCTTGAACTGGCTCCTTGTCGGATTCACCCTCCTTGCTTTTCCAGGCTTGCAGCCGTACACCCAGCTTGCATCGCCAGTTATGATCCGGGACATGAACGTTGGGTCATCTCGCGTCTGTTGACGGAGATCCTCGCAGGCTCGTAAACGATACTGCTTCAGCTCGGGAGTCAGTAGCCTGGGCACAAGCTTGTTAGCCACTTGGTGCAGGTTCAAAGTGGACGTCAGGATCGCCTGGACCGTTCCGAATGACACGTTGAGAATGGCAGAAATCTCCCTCAGAGAGATCCGGAAATCCTGGCGCACAAGTTGATCGATTTCTCGGATGTGCTTGGGAGTTGTGCTCGTGCTGGGTCGCCCTGACCTGATTTCATCATCGACGGATGTTCTGCCATTTTTGAAACGCAAATACCAATCCTTGCATCTTGATCGGCTCATTGCTTTGCTGCCGTAAACTTCCTGAAGCATTTGGAAGGTTTTCTTCACAGATATCTTGGTTTTCACGCAGAATTTGATTTTTTCTCTCTGTTCAAATTTGAGGCGTTGCAATGCATTGCGGGACGCAACACTGAATATTGGCATCGGAAAGGTTCTGGGAGCTGTTGCACGTGTGTCATCCTCCTGCAGTCCATCCTGGCCAATGCAGCGTTCCTGGAAGAAGTCCGAGTCTTCAATCGGGCTCCGTTCATGGGAAACCTCTTCTTTAATATCAAACAGATGATGGACACCTGCAAGGTACACACAGATGGATGAGCATATTTTAAAAAAGCCAAAATGCTGGGTGTATGGGGACACTGGTTTCCAGTATCCTGCAGAATGGACTCTAACCTAAAGCCCATCTCACAGAGTTACATCATCCAATCGAATCACAG